AAGCTCGTAAGCAGGTTCGGCGTGTGGCGCGATGTGCCAAGCCATTAGGCTGACCCACTAGACGAGTTTGACGTCGTCCTCGGATAAATGAGCTGTCTGACTGACAGGTCCGTGATTGCGGTCAAGTGTTTTGACGCGACGTCAAGGTTTCGATTTTATCGCACGTTTGTCTTGACATCTAGACTTGATGCCTCCGTCGGCCGCGAACCCGCCATTCATCGTTCTACCTACATCAACCTTTTGCCGCTACTTGACCGATCTATACGGACCAAAAGGCTCATTGCGGGCTAATATTTTCTAGAATTTACCTTTACCGTAACCAGGAACTGCAGATCAGCGATACGGTAATGATGATGTCATCGCTGACTGTATTTTTGCGAGGACAGCCCTAAATTTTACTTGAAAAGTTGGCCATGGTGCTGAATCAACCGGCAATTTGGAACAAGTTAAGCCCGTGGTGTCGTAGGGAAGGGAAGTGAAAGAATGGGGAGTGTAAAAAGATTGGTAGGAGAGCGGGATGGGGGATTGACGAAGGGAAGAGGGCGAAATCGCTCATGTTTCGATCACTACCTTAGGTGTGCTTACCAACGCTTCCATGATTCGTAATGGAAGCGATTGCATGGCGCATCCCCGACCATTACCCTTTACTTTTTATATTAACCTGGCAGGAGTACGGTAACCGACTGCTACTTTCTGACCTACTGGAAGTAGACGAAATAGCATGCTTATTTGATCATTCATTTGTTTTCATTTGTTTACTCAGATATTTGTTTAATTGTTTACTTATTTGTTTACGTCATTTTAAGTTAGAAATGTCAACTTTCGTAAATCCAACTAAGTACGGTAACCGTGTGACCTCGATTTCCTGCGTCCCCCAGCCCAATGATGAGCCCTTTTTCATGTTCCAAGTGGCGTAACCCGCTGGGACAATTTCGTTTCTTACGAATCGTTTCGTTCGTAAAAGTCTTTGAAAAGGGCTCTTCTCACTTTTTTCCCCAAGTAAAGGCATTCATGCTATGATTGATCGGAAATGGGACGAATTGGTATTCAATCGATTGCCATGATTCCCTTTCCAAAGCCAGTCTTATCGGGGTCATCGATCAAAAACAAAGACACCGACCGACTTCGCCCTATTGATTTGTTGATTGATTATCGAGTGTCGTATGTCAACACCTTCATGAGACCTTGTGAATCATTTCCCTGGAATTAAACGTTATCGGGTCGACTCATATATTACACCTGCCCCACTTGGGGGCTCGCTTCCCCAAGGGCCGCCCATACCCTTATTTCCGACGGATTCGGTAACTGGTACAAAGGGCACTGTAGCGATGATATCACAATCAAAAGGCTGGTTCTATAGGTCGTGGGTCTAACGAAATCCGATTCCATCTGGCTCAAACAGCCTTCATGATGATTGCTGTGCCAAAGTTCCGAATTGATCTCGGCCTGGTGGAGGTGGTCCAGACTTCACAAGAAGCCGCTACATCAGCGCCTAGAGTTAACGTTTGAGGGAATGGCACCATCTTCGAGGTCTAAGAAGGCTGTGAATGAGTTGATCGAGAAAGTATGAGTCTCCATCCCTTTTCAAGACCCTTTCGGACCACCCAACTTTTTGCATAACCAGTAAGTGGCGAAAGGTTTTCCATATATAAGGTTTTCTAGCGGGACCAGGACCGAGTCCAGGAAAGATAGTACCCACGAGTCGTAGCACTGATTTACGGTCCTTCTGCACTCGTGTGGTTGGTTAGCTCTTGGGTAAAACAGCGACAACCCTGAAGATTATGGTCTGAATTGCCCCTCCTAGAGTTATACCTTGTGGTAATTTGGTGCAAGTTATTTATGCTGTCCAGCCTTTTCATCCAAATATATCTTTACCAGTGGGGGACGTGGCTTACCCACTTCACCTTAATGTACCACAACTTTGGATCGTTTAATCTCCACCTACTTTTTCCGCTTCAGTTGTTTCATTTTCCAGGACATCTCCGATCTCCTAGATCTTATCTCCATGGCCACAAATGAATCAGTTCATAAGTCCGTCTATTTAATCCCTATTTATTCAGTAGTTTATTTATTTGTTTACTGTAACTGTATTGAGCAGCTATATCTTGCACCTTCCATAGCGATGGACTAAACTTGTTTGACAAAGCTGGTCTTGGTTAGTTTAAAATTGATTTGGGCAACTTTTTCTTTCCCGAAAAGATTCCCAACCTGAGCCAATTCCAAGGTTCTCTGGGAAAAAACTTCTTTGTCGTAATTGCAACCATCGACCTTGCCTCAATGATGTCACAGCCGATCCTATCAGGTTCCTCAGCAGGTGGTTTTTCCTCCGACTTTCTTTCACCCTCTATTTCAGTTGCGTTTCGTTTTCGGTGTTGACCTTCGTCGATCGTTGAATAGCCGATGACGGCTGATGGTTTTGTTCGATTCCCTATTACTAATACGAAAACTAACCAGTTTCTTTGAATTGGACGTTGAACTGATCGTGTTTAGTTGAAAAGAGGATCTACCAGTCTGGTTTTGTTGTCACGATTCGCCTCTTTGAGTTGTGTCCAGTAGACCGTGGCCTTCAGCCTGAATCACATATACCAACCTGCTCCAGCTCAAGCTCGGCTCTTAAACTGACATGGGATCAAAATATATCAAAAATTAGTCTCGGGTTAGGAAATATTGTTGACTAAGTGTGCTACGTGATGACTCACCCTGTTTTGGAATGCGCCACGCCTTTGACTGCCGCCCAGAGTGGTGGATGTATCGGATGCGCAGTATGCTCCTTAGCTCTCGGAGGCAGCTTTTTTTTTCGTTCTTCACGTACAACTCAGTGCTCTTATCCTCCCAGACGAGTCTGGTACCTTTACCAGACGCCGGAGAGATGGAAAATTTGGTTGAGCCGGGCGAGTATCGATCCGGGACTCGATCGCTGGACCTTAGGCGCGGGATAGTACGTCACCTGCTGCTGCGTCACCTCCGCCGTGTAAACTTTACATTGTATTGGAAACATCAATATTAGATGGCGCTGTTTTTTTTGTTTACAGTCCACTGCAAATGGAAAAACGAACAGGTTGTCAAATGGAAGTAAACAAATAAATAAGCAAACAGGTGGAAGCTTAATTTCGTCATGCTGAATGAGTTCCTCTTGAGAATGGGAAACGAAGGAATGTGGACAGGAGGAGCTCGACATTATAGTGTGCAGTGGTGTTGTGTCATGTGTTGAAGCGATGCCGTTCGGTAATTAATCGAATCACCCCTG